CCCATGGGGTGCAGGGCCCAAGCACTTGGGCCATCCTCCACTGCCTTCCTGGGCCACAGCAGAGAGCTGGCCTGGAAGAGGGGCAACCGGGACAGAATCCGGCGCCCCGACCGGGACTAGAACCCGGTGTGCCGGCGCCACAAGGCGGAGGATTAGCCTAGTGAGCCGAAGCGCCGGCCAATATATACAAATTTTAAAACATTCTGTGGGGCTAGCACTGTGGCTCAGTGGGTTAAGCTGCAGCTTGCAGTGTCAATATCCCACGTGGGTACCAGTCCTGGCTGCTCCACTTCTGAGCCAGCTCCTAGTTAACGTGCCCAGGAAAGCAGAAGATGGCCCTTGCACCCACGTGGGAGACCAAGATGAAGCATCTGGCTCCTGGCTTCAGCCAGGTCCAGTCCCAGCCACTGTGGCCACTTGAGGCGTGAACCACTGATGGGATATCTCTCTGTGTCTCCTCCTTCTCTGTAACTCTGCCTTTCAAATAAATAAATAAATTTAAAATTTGTGCCTAAGTTAACTTACCTTTTAAAATTTTTATTTACTGATTTATTTGAAAGGCAGGAACAGGTGAAGAATGAAAGATCTCCCATCTGCTGGTTCAATCCCCAAATGCCCACAACAGCAAGGACTGAGCCAAGCAGAAGCCAGGGGTCTGAAACTACATCAGGGTCTCCCATCTGGGTGGCAAGCCCCTAGCACTTAAGCATCACCTTCTGGTTCCCAGGGTACACATGAGCATACAGCTGAAATCAGAAAAACAGCCAGGCTCTAACTCTGCACTCATATATAAGATGCAGGTGTCCCAAGCAACATCTTTTCTTTCTTTTTTTTTTTAAAGTTCTCTAGCATTACAGAGTTGTTTTTTTTTTTTTTTGGGGGGGGGGTTTTTTTTTTTTGAGATTTATTTTATTTATTTGAAAGACAGAGTTACAGAAATAGGTAGAGCCAGAGTTAGAGAAAGGTCTTCCATTCCACTGGTCTTTTTTCTTTCATTCCTATCTTTTTTTTTTTCTTCTTTGACAGGCAGAGTTAGACAGTGAGAGTGAGAGAGAGAGAGAGAGAAAGGTCTTCCTTCAGTTGGTTCACCCCCCAAATGGCTGCTACAGCTGGCGCACTGCGCCAATCTGAAGCCAGGTGCTTCCTCCTGGTCTTCCATACGGGTACAGGGCCCCAAGGACTTGGGCCATCCTCCACTACTTGCCCAGGCCATAGCAGAGAGCTGGGATCAGTAGAGCAGCCAGGACTCGAACTGGAGCCCATATGGGATGCTGGCACTGCAGGCTAGGGCTTTAACCTGCTGTGCAACAGTGCCGGCTCCCCAAGTGACATATCTTAACTGCTGTGCTAATTACCTGCCCCAACCTTAAGTTTTAATTCCATGTTTCCTTGAATTTTTTTGAAGTTCTCTCCTTTTTTTTTTTTTTTTTTTTACAAAAAATTCATGCATTTTCACGGAGAAAACTTAAGTCACTCAAAAATAAGTATGAGGGGGCCAGTGTTGTGGCATGCCATTTGTGACATCAGTGCCCTATATTGAAACACCAGTTCAAGTCCAGGCTGCTCTGCTTCCAATGCAACTCCCTGCTAATGTGTCTGGAAAAGCAGCAGAAGATGGCCCAAGTGTATGAGCCCCTGCCACCCACATGGAAGACCCAAATGGATTTCCAAGCTTTGACCTGGACTAGCACCGGCCATGGCAGCCATTTGGGAAACCAACCAGTGAATGGAAGAGCTCACTTTTTCTTTATTTTTTCTAAAGATTTATTATTTATTTATTATTTGACAAGTAGAGTTAGTGAGAGAGAGAGACAGAAAGAAAGGTCTTCCTTCTGTTGGTTCACTCCCCAAATGGCCACCATGGCCGGAACTGCACCAATCCGAAGCCAGGAGCCAGGTGGCTCTTCTTGATCTCCCATGTGGGTGCAGGGGCCCAAGCACTTTGGCCATCCTCCACTGCCCTCCCAGGCCACAGCAGAGAGCTGGACTGGAAGAGGAGCAACCGGGACCAGAACCGGCACCCATACGGGATGCTAACGCCGCAGGCGGAGGATTAACCAAGTGAGCCACAGCGCCGGCCCTGATTTATTTATTTATTTGAAAGGCAGAGTTATAGAAAGGGAGAGATCTTCCATCTGCTGTTTTACTCCTCAAATGGCCATGAGGGCCATGGCATGGCCAGGCCCAATCCAGGATGCTAGAACTCTATCCAGGTCTCCTACATGGGTTCAGGGGCCTAGGGACTTGGGTCAGCTTCCACTGCTTTCCCAGACATTATTAGAGAGCTGGATCTGAAATGGAGCAGCCAGCACTGGAACCAGTGCCCATATGAGATGTTGGCATTGAAGGTGGCAGGTTAGCCTGCTGTGCCACATCACTGGTCCCTGGAAGAGCTCTTCCTATCTCTGCCTCTCTGTCACTCTGCCTTTCAAATAAATAATTAAATATTTTTAAAAAATTAGTGTGGGGGCTGGGATGAAGCTCCTGGTTCTGGCCTGGCCCAGCCCTGGCCATTGCAGCTATCTGGGGAGTGAACCAGCCAATGAAAGACTTCTCTCTCTCTCTCTCTCTCTGCCTTTCAAATAAATAAATAAATAAATAGTTCTATCTTTTTTTTTTTTTTATTGAATGTGAGATGGATCACAGACCTTAACACTCAAGTAGAAACTGGAAAGCTTGTTTTTTTTTTTTTTGTTGTTATTGTTGTTGTTTTGTTTTGTTTTGTTTTGACAGGCAGAGTGGACAGTGAGAGAGAGAAAGGTCTTCCTTTACCATTGGTTCACCCCGCAATGGCCACTGCCTGATCCGAAGCCAGGAGCCAGGTGCTTCTCCTGGTCTCCCATGTGGGTGCAGGGCCCAAGGACTTGGGCCATCCTCCACTTCACTACCAGGCCACAGCAGAGAGCTGGACTGGAAGAGGAGCAACTGGAACAGAATCCAGCGCCCCGACCGGGACTAGAACCTGGGGTGCCGGCGCCGCAGGCGTAGGATTAGCCTATTGAGCCACAGCACCGGCCCATGAAAAGCTTTCAAAAACAAAGACAGGCAAATATCTTGAGGCTGGCAAAGATTTTTCACCCAGAACACAAAAAGAACAACCCATAAAAGGAAAGACGGGCACAAAACACACAGACCCAGCAATGGCTCAGCCTGGGGGAAAAGTGAGCCCTGATGCCCAGGAAGCAGGCACCAGCGAGGCAGCGTGAGTGCCCCAGCAAAGGTCTCTGAGCTCCAGGCCCCAAGTCACTTTGAGACCAACACCGGAGTCTACCAACCCCAATTCTGAATTTTGAAACCAGTCTCCTGACAGTGTCCAGTTTTGTTTCCAGCTTCCTTCCCCCAATTCTTTGACCATGAAAACCATCACTCACTAAGGCTGCCTTCTGGATGACAGTGGAGCTGGCACCAGCTGGCCAGCAGAGAGACTGCACGCATTCTCTGTGACACACAGAGGGCCCAGGTCCATAGAAGGCCAACTTTCAAGCTACTACTAGAAATAAGCAATAGACACGCCTGGCTTCTAGAAAGAGTGAGCTTCCCATCATCAGTAAAACTCTGTTCTGTAAAGGCATGAACTTAAGAAATGGTGGCTCTTTTTAGTATTAATTTTGGGGTTCTAAGCCTCAGAGACACCAGAGGGGAAGGCGTAGGTGGTGGGGAGAGGAGGAAGGAGGGAGGATAAACAGACGCAAGCAACCATGATGAGCTCTCACAAAGTGTTCTCTTTCTGAACTGAAATGAAACTGGTGACTTCTTCGCGGGCTTATAGCACAGGACAGGGCTGAGGGGTTCCCCTTTAGCTGGATGTAATATTTACCTGCCTGACAACCTTTGGGGAAAGACTGAGTGTCCAGGATCAGGACCCCTGAGTAGGTGTTTGTAATAGCTCATTTTTCCTAAGAGGACTGGGGGCTCAGAGAGGTCAAGTACTTTGCCCCACGTCACACTAGGATTGAGCAGCCAACCTTAGGCACTGCAAAAGACTACAAATACTTACAGACTAAAGACTGCCTAGTTCTGCGGTTCTCAAACTTTACCCAAGAACCTGCTAAAAGAAAACTGCTTGGGTGGGCTCTCACAACACCATTTGAATAACCTACCTGTGGAGATTCTGATACAGGGCATAGGGATGACTGGAACAGGGGTGGTAAAGCCCATGATCCTGGAGACCCACCTAGCAACAGGGCTAAAAATTCTGTCCTATAATGACTTACCTGTGCCTCATTTTTCTCATCTGTAAAATGGCGATATTGATATCAGTAAGAAAAAGTGTGATGCTCTACATTTAATCATAAGGAAATGAAGTTAAGAGATGAGGAGAGATGGGTGAGATTAACCAGTTAACATTCCTGCATATGTTAAAATATGAACTCAAATCCCATCAGGACCCACTGTATGCAACCTGCTCACAACAGGACACCCAGCAGGAATAAATACTTCTCAAGGGTACAGGCCCTCTTATCTACAGCCAAGGAAGGACCCAAGTACACAGATGCTTTTCTTCCCCAAATTTTCATTTTAAATGCTATCACCTCTGTGTCAAGCATTCTTCCAACTGCTAGCTGGCCCTGTTGCTAGGAGTTATGGGAACCTGTCCATTTCTGGCTAGTATCTATAATGCCTGAACAAAGCCTTTTATTTCAAAGCTCTTTCTGTGACAAGGGCTTTGGCTAAAAAAATACCATGGAGTTGTTGTAAAGAAGTCCTAAATGTAATACATTTAATACGTGCTTTTATGTATTTGCTGTAATTACATACTTAGAATAGTGCCTGTCGTTAGTAAGAACTTAACTGTTAACTCTTACTTTCATCCCATGTAATGGGGAGCTTGCCATCTACCGACACAGCCCGGTTAGCTTTGGTCCACCCTGGGCTATGGCCATTGGCTACCGTGGACCATGTTGCCACAGTCCTTTCAGTAGCATCTCTACACTCTCATGCACATCACTGAAAAACTTATATTTGACTTTAGTATAAACCCAAAAAGGCTGAGAGCATACCTCCTGGCTATCAGGGGAGCCACACGTGGTGCTGAGAGGCACTGCGGAAATTGGGAGCCTGGGTTCCAATCCTGATTCTCCACTGGCTGGCTTTGTGTCTTTTGGCAATGTGCTTTCTCTCTGGGGCCTCAGTTTCTCCATCTGTTAAATATTGGTTTGGTGAGTCTCAGGGTCCCAGCTGATAACAAAGGTAGGGAAATTTACTAACTGTGGTTCCTTCAGCCCTCCAGGACCCAGGGAGGGAAGCAGGGATTTCCAAAGCCACCACCCCCAAGATTTCTGATCTGTATACAAGGGGGTGGGGGTTGGCTTCAAACCCTAGAGGATTAGGAAAGGGGGAGGGGCACAATGTAGGAGCTGGAAAAAGGAAACCACCCCCACCTAAAGCCCCCTTCTGGTTGCCACTCCCAGATCCCTTCATTCCTCCTAAATTAGCAAATCTCTGTCACAGCTTTCTCCTCCAGAACTGTCTCCAAACACACATTATACATCCAGTCCTGAGCCGGGTAGTTCTCAGAACCAAGGACACATCATTACTGTACTGATTTAAAGTATTTCTATTGGGAAGCCCTGGAGTGATTTAAACAGACACGAACTCAGCTCTCAGGATGTTCATCTGCTCGTGGGGGACACGGACAAACAGCTAGATGACTTCAAACACTGCAGTGATCACAGCTACAAAGGCAAGAAATCGAGGGTAGGTGATGGATCCTGATGTAAGATTTTCCTGGGGATAGGAGGAGTCTTGAAAAAGTTCATGGAAAATGCACACATTGCAAAGTTTTTCTGCACCAAAATGAACCCAGTTCCATTTTCCATGAACTTTTTGCAGTGCCCTCGAACTTGACCTGAGACAGATGATGGTAAGTGAAAAGTAACAAGTCAAAGGCCAGCACAAGGGTAAGCCCAATGGTTTGAGATTTCAAGCTCCTAATCTTCAATAAAAGGCCAGGAAAGGCCTCTGGAGGAATCCCAAAACTTTTTTCTAAGGAGGGGGCCCTCAGGTGTATCCCACAATGTAGTCGGGTGGAGGGGCGCCCTCCAGTGGTGACAACAGTCAAATGTCACATCGCGGACCTGGTAAGCCATACGCTTGGGACTGAACCGTGGGCTCGCTCGTCATTCATTCTTCTCACATTTTTCATTTAACCAGTATTTACTGAACGAAGGGTATGTGCCAAGTGGTGGTGGAGTGGTAGGGGTAGAGCTGTGAAACCGGCAGTATTCGGGTCAGTTGCTGGCCCAGTACTCTGCTCCCTGTTCAGTACTGCAATGTTGGCCTTCGAATGTTCCAGCAGCCACACACACACTCACGGTCCGGTCCGCCCCCCACCCCCACCCCGAGGGTCTCTGCATGTGCAGCTCCCTTCCCTCCTGGAAAGCTGGCTCCTTGCATCGCTGGCTCGAGTCTCCCCTCAAACGTGACCCCATCAGCCAAGGATGATGGGGCCATCTTATTTATCGTCTGACCCTCCCCACACACGACTAAAACAGATTCTATAAAAATGGCCTTTCTCCTATAACCCCTCAACCGCGTGGGTGCTCAGAAAACAAGCGCGGGATGAGTGTGAGGAGTCCACAGGTTAAAAAAAAAAAAAGTTCACCGAGCATCGATCGGCCCGCTAGACCCGCGTCAGAGCCTCTGCCCCGGGCGTTCTGACGGAAACTCGCAGCCCCCGCGCCGCCCGGCGCCTCGAACCCGCGTCTCCCACAGCTTCTTCGCTTCCTGCCTTCTACGCTACCGCCATCCACTCATCGGTGTCTGTCCCTCCCGCTAGAATGCACGCCATCCGGCCTGCCCTCGGCGCCGGCAACAGCGCGGGCTCCCCGGAGGCGCTCCACAATTTCTGACTGAATGAACTCGAGACCGCAGCCTGCTCTTTTCCCTACAGACCTTGCGCCACCTGTTCCAAGGGGGAACTGGGCCTCGGGAGGCGCCCAGAGGTGACCTCAGGCGGCCCGGCCCCGGCGTCCGAGCTCCGGGAGCAGAGCCATCGGAGCAGCTGCGGAGACAGGAGGCGCCGGGACCTGGAGCGGGAGCGCGGGCGCGGCGAGGCCTGCGGCCGTGAGGCGATTCCAGGAAGAGGCGAGGGCGCGCCAGAGACGGCAGGCGGAGCCGTCGGAGGAGGAAGAGTCACGTGGCGCCCGCAGACCCGCCCACCTCGTCGCGGGCGGGGCGGGCGGGCGGGACGCATGCAAATGAGCCTGGGGCGGCCGGCCAATCGCAGCGCGCGCCGAGGGTCCCGGTGGGCGGGCCGGACGCCGGCCCGCGCGCCGCCTGGGGGCTTCTGCGAGCGGCGCGGCCGGTTCGCTGGCTGGGGCTGCCGCGGCGTCCTCGACTTCCTCTTCGTCCCGGGACTGCTGGCCGGGCGCGGCCGGGCCCTGGTGGGGGGCAGGCGGAGGCGCGGCGGGGGCGGGGGCCGCTGCCGTCGCAGGCTCCCGGGCCGGCCCGCGCCTTTGCAGCGTGCTCCATGCATCCGGAGCCCGCCCCGCCCCCGAGCAGCCACAGTCCCGAGCTTCCCCTCAGCGGCGGCAGCACCACCAGCGGCAGCCGCCGGAGCCGCCGCAGCGGGGACGGGGAGCCCCCGGGGTCCCCGCCGCCGGCGCCGCCGCCCGCCGTCAGCTACCCGGACTGGATCGGCCAGAGTTACTCCAAGGTGATGAGCCTCAACGAGCACTCGATGCAGGCGCTGTCCTGGCGCAAGCTCTACTTGAGCCGCGCCAAGCTCAAAGCCTCCAGCCGGACCTCGGCTCTGCTGTCCGGCTTCGCCATGGTGAGCTCGGGCCGTCCTGCCCTGCCCCCTCTCTCCTGTCCCGGCCGCTCGCTGAGGAGCAGGCGAGGCGGGCCGGGGGTGAGGAGAAGGACTGGGAGAAGCTGTCCTGGACGCTGGAGGGGGGCCGGAGGTGCTGGACTGAGGAGAGGTGGGCGACGAGGGCCGCCCGGCGGGGCGCAGTGGCGAGCCAAGCAGGTGTCCAGGCTAGGGGCTTCAGGGGCAGGCTTGATGCACCGGGGGAGGGAAACAGGGCGAGAATGATGCACCCCCACGGTCAAGTCTGTGAGAGGGCAGAAGGCAGGACCCAAGACCGGCTGGCGCATCCGGGAACAGGTGTCAGGAGGTGGGCTGGGGAACAGAGACCCCGGAGCTGTGGTGCACCCACACCAGATTTTTTTTTCCCCCAGGTAGCTGAGGGGATTTCCTGACTCCCCTTTTGGGCTGCATTTTCCGAGGGAACCTCAGCCTGGGGGGTTGACAACCACTCCCACCCACCTACCTGATTTTCTTCTCCAGAAACTTGCCACTGAGTCACTGAGTGTGGGGGAGGAGGGTGGGACATGTTCCCCTTGAATGGGCTCTTGATGTAGGGGACAGGCCTGTCCTGAGTCTTGGGCTGTGGCAGGGGGTGGGTGAGTGAGGCTGCAGGTTGGACTGAGAAGTTTCTCCAGGCCTAGCTGGCCTCTTGGTGTTTCTCTCCCACAGGGCATGGCACAACCACCTCATCATTATCAGTGACATCAGCCTCCATGAATGGGGGCCGTCCCCACCCCCCAAGATATCTAGCCCAGAGCATTCCAGCCTCCCCTTCGGTGAGCTAAGCCCTTGGCCTTGAGGAAGGGAGTGGCTGCACCGAGGGTGTTTTCTTGGGAAAGGAGTGTGTCTGGGTCTCTCCCTGTGTTCTACAAACAAGTGGAGCCTGAAGGTGTTAGAGGCCCAGGGTGTCCTGAGGAGAGCTCCAGCTCTCCACGCTCTGCTGCTGGCTGCCTGCGTGACCTCAGGCAGATCTGTCCCTTGCTGGGCCTTGATTTCTGAAATGATACATGAAGGCTGCTGCTCAGAGCTTCTCTGACTTCAAGAATGGAATTGAAGAAGCCCCTGAGAGATCAGATGTGTGTAAGGGGCCCACACCTGGGTTTTAGTTTGGGCCAGTGTGATGGAATCCTGTTACCCTAGCCCCACGTCCAAAGACCCCAGTCTCTGCCTTGTGCCTGAAGAGCCCCTAAGGACTGCGCCATTTTTCAAACACTCACCCTGTGCCAGGCTCTGTGTCAATTCCCTGAGGGCTAGGCTCACTCCTCAACAGCCCTGTGAGGTGGTTTTGTCTTTGAACTTTCCCTAGGCCACACAGCTAGGCTGATACGGTGGGATTTGAACCTGCATCTGCTGGTACTAGAACTCACTCGGGGACTTGGGCTGCTTAGGGTGTATGGTGGGTCCCCCCAGGACTAGGCCTAGAGAAGGAAAAATAGAGCAAAAAGTTTTCCCTTAAATCAAAGAGAGTTTGACTGTTTGGGACAAGGGAGCCGTGGAGTTGTCAGCTTTTTCCCTGCTCTGCTCTGTGTCTCAGGTGGTCGGTGTCTGTTACTTTTTTCTTAAAGTCATGGATTCTTAGCTGTCCCAGGCCCCTGCTCACCCCAGAAAATGTGAGGATCACACGCATGACACTTTGCTGCCCTCTCAAGTGCTCTCTTCCTCCTGCAGAAGGCAGGCCTTGTAGTCAGATGTCACCTCCTTCTTCCTCTAGCTAAAAACAGGGCGCGGAAGTCAAGAGGCTGGGGCGGGCAGTCGCCCTGGGTGAGCCGTGGCGCACTCAGACTGTCTCTTGGGGGACCTTTATTTCCCCTGGTTCAAGCTTTCCACCTCTCCAGGTAGAGTCCCCCAAGTTCTGCAGGTAGGGAGGGGCTGGGCCTCATGACAGCCTCCATCCTGAGTCAGTGGTTACAGAAGTGACTCCTGCAAAACTGCAGATCTGCAGGAGACAGGACTGGTGCAGGGTAGGAGGGCAGCAGGACAGGTCCCGCCGTGCCTCGCCTCTACCACAGACACTTGCTTGAGTGAGAGGCGGAGAGGAGTGGATGTCAGGCAGTCCTGAAGCCGTGGTAACAGAGGGACACGTTTCCCGGATTCCTATCCCTTCCCCATGAGTCAGCATAGCCACTTTCCTGCCCCCAGAGGGCTTCCTTCCTGGAGACCTGGGAAATGAGGAGCCAATGACTGATCTCCAGGTAGAGGCAGGGTCTGCAAAAGCCTTGGAGGGGATGGAGAGATTCCTGCTTTGTACGTGGAAGGGCCTAGCCAGGTGCCTGTGAGGCGCTGGGAATAGGCCAGGGGACCTCTGGCACGTGGCTTTGTCTCTTTAAAGTGAATTTCTCACATGTGTAAAGGTGACAAAAATCCTATTCTGCCCTGGACTTGCATGAAGATTCATTGTGACGCCGGACTGGGCCTGAAATGTTGAGGAAATTTCAGGATCCGGTGATGTACACCTTGGCCAGACTCTCTGGAAACAGCAGGGCCTCAGCTTGGGTCAGCAGCCAGACTCTAGCTAGCTCCACAAAATGAGGGCCCTAGGTATAGCATACGGTCAACATCCTACAGTACCCTTGTGGGCTCTGCTTCAGGCCCTCTGTGCCTCAGTGTACCTCAGCCTGACCCCACGCCTTGTGGGGAGCACACATGGGGAGCGCAGTGTGTAACGTTAGCCTAAGCAGAAGATAATTGGGAAGGTCAGCCTGCTGTTGTAAACAAAATGCTTTCCACGACCTGGGCTCAATTATTTTTGGATTATCTGCCTCCTCAAGTTCTCTGCCGGCCAGCACCCTTTGGTTCCCAGGGTCCAGAGCAGGTTCAGAGAAATTGGCATTTCTGTGAAAATCAGTTGGAAGGAAGTGCTCCGATCATAAAACCTTGGCTAGCCTCTTGGACGTGTTCAGAGTTCAGGGAATGCAGAGGGGAGCAGGAACTTACTCTCACTCGTGGCGGCTGAGCAGTCGTCAGTCACTGATGCTGGTTGGGGTCGGGTCCTGCCCTGGCTCCTAGCTGCTAAGGGCATCGGATGTACCTTCTGAGTGGTCTTCCTACAGCCTGGTGAGGGTTGGTGGTCATCTCAGAAGAAGGACTTGCGCGAGGTCACCTGCTGGGCAGCTGCAGAGCCCTGGGACACATGGGAAGGGAAGTGTCAGAGAGGGGTGAAAGGCTCAGGAGCAGTAGAGCAAAGTAGAAGCAGGGCTTAAGCTAGACAACTTGGGCTCATATCCCAGCTCTACCTCTTAACACATGGGAGACCTTGGGGAAGTAACTTGATCATTCAGGGCCTCAGTTTCCCCGCCTATAAAATGGGTCACAGTAGTAGGAACCTCACTGGTGTGAGGTTTCGTTGAGTTGGCATTTGCAAAGCATGTGGTCCAGATATCCAGGAAACTCACTCGCCCTTGTTCCTGTGGTCTAGGGCTGCCTTGTCAGTGTTAACTGGGTGAGAATGTAATTCCAGCTGAGCCTTGAGGGTGATGGCGGTAGGATTTGTGGAAGAGCCCACCTGTCAATGGAAATGGCAGGAACAGTTACAGAGCTGAAAAGTTAGAGGGTCCTGGGAATGGCAGTAGGGCTGGTGTGGCTGGGGTTGTGGGTGTGCAGGAAGTGATGGGGTGAACCTCGTCAGGCAAAATGATGGAGGCCCTTGATCGGTCATTTAGGAAGTTTGAATTTTTGTATAGTCAGTGGGGAGCCCTCAGAGATTTTATTTATTTTGTTTATTTTAAAAGGAAGAAAGACAAAGACCAGGAACTCCCATTCACTGGTTCACTTCCCAAAAGCCCACAACAGCTGGGACTGGGCCGGGCCAAAGCCAGGAGCCAGGAACTCAATCCAGGTCTCCCCTGTGCATGGCAAGGACTGAAGTGCTTGAGCCATCACCTGCTGCCTCCCAGGGTGCTCGTTAGCAGGGAACCGAAATCAGAAGCAGAGGCAGGACTCCAGCCCAGGCACTGCAGTATGGGATGTGGGTGTCCAGGTGGTATCTTAGCCACTACATTGAATACCTGCCCTAAAGGTAGTAGATAGAGGGGCCGGTGCTCTGATGCGGCAGGTTAAGCCACCATCTGCAGCACTGGCATCCCAAATGGGCGCCTGTTCGAGTCTCGGCTGCTCTACTTCCAATCCAGTTCTCTGCTAAGGCCTGGGAAAACAGTAGAAAATGGCCTATGTACATGGACCCCTGCACCCACACAGGAAACCAGAGGAAGCTCTTGGCTCCTGGCTTTGTCTCAGCCCAGTTCCAGCCATTGTGGCCATTTGGGAAGTGAACCAGTGGATAGAAGACCTTTTTCTGTGTCTCTCCTTCTCTCCGTATAACTCTGCCTCTCAAATAAATAAATGTTTAAAAAAATTTTAAAAGTTGTAGATAAGAGGGTTAGGTGACCAATTTTTTTTTAACATTTCATTTATTTATTTGAGAGGTAGAGTTACAGACACAGAGAAAGGTCCTACATCTGCTAGTTCACTCCCCAAATGGCCACAACAGCCAGAGCTTGGCCAATCTGAAGCCAGGAGCTTTTTCCAGGTCTCCCATGTGGGTGCAGAGGCCCAAGCACTTGGGCCGTTTTGTACTGCTTTCCAAGGCCATAGCAGGGAGCTGGATCAGAAGAGAAGCCAGGACACGAACCAGCGGCCATGTGGGATACTGGCGCCACAGGCGGAGGCTTAGCCTACTACGCCACAGCGCCAGCCTTACAAATTCGATATTAATGATGCTGGCGGTTACTGCTTACTGAACCTCTTTTGTGCCAGGCATGGGCCAGAGCCCTTTCCTTTTATTTTTATTTGGTCTTCACAACAACGCTTAAGAGTCTGTACTGCTGATAGGAAAAGACTTCCTGGTGGTTTCTAGCGATAGGCCCTGGTGTGTCTGACTTTGGGCCTTTTCCTCTCCACCACCCTCTGGCTACCACCCCCTGCCCCCCTTAGCTGCTTGATAAAAGAACCTTTGAAGTCTTCCAGAT